AATCTCAGAATCTCAAGTGAAAATGATTTTTTACAAACTATCTATCTTTTCTATTCAACTAGTTTCAACTCTATATATAACTTTTGAGAGCAGCAAACTAGACAATGTCTTATCCTGAATCAGTTTGAAAATGAATGCAAAAATTATTATCCATTGATAGTTGGAACAAGTAAATTTCTTTTTTTTTTTTATTGTTTTTATTCGTTCATACTTTCACTGTTGCTTAAGAGATGCAATTGTTAATAGTTAAAATAGTTTAAATTTATATTATTAATGTACGTGGCTAATATAAACCACTACTAGTGCGGTTGTAATAAAATGATACTGGACTTCCTTGTAAGCAAAATGTTCCAAGTTCCAAGCCATTAAGTCGCTGGTTTAACCGCACTCAACTTGTTTCTCCAGAGAGCGATCTTGTTTGTCAAGGTTCGCATTTCAAAGATAAAGCGTTCCGAGAGGGTTATAACCACAGTTTAAAAAAAAAGTAATTTTCTTGACTGTAGAGACCTCCTGGGCCTTAGGGAGAAAAATTCATTAAATAAAAAAAGTATATATATAATTAATAGAATGTAAAACGTTTTGATTATTAAAATAATTGGAAAAATTTAATAATTATTGGAATAATAAGTTTTTGAAGGTAAAAACTTTGTGTTTTACTTTTTATAATTTAAGCAGTGCTTGAAAAGGAAAAAAAATAAAACGGGGTAGTTTTTAGTATTTTTAAAATACTACCTTATCATTACTATATATATTTATACTTTAAAAGGTCATCCTGTCTTGGGGTCATTCATAAATGAAATTTGTAAATATAGGTGGGGGGGGGGGGAGGTATTAATAAAAAGTTGAAAAAAAATTGAAATTGTTGAGACCAGAATGATTTCAATTTTAAAAAAAATTCAAGTTTATACGACCAGTTTTATTATTGTATTACCATTTGACTGAAAATCTAATTGGTTACAAATATCAATAATATGTATATTAATTTAACAATTGTTATTCGCTTCCTAGCGGATTAAAAAATGTGCTAAAAAGCAAACACATAAAGTTATTTGTCATTATTTCAAATACAAATGTCATTATTATTAAAGATTACTTCTACAAACCACGGGAAGATGATGAACAATTAAATTTGTATTATAGATATAGAATAAAATTTTGATTAGCTTGTTTATTATTTGATGAGGTTTCAACTGTTCTATAATATAACTTGCTGAGATCTACTATTATATAAATGTATAATTTAACCATAAAAATATCAATGGTATTTACGCATATTTTTAATATTACTTTAGGGGAGGGACGGGGTACAAAAACTGACATCATATATAAAGGAGGGGGGGTGTTGGCTAAAAAATATCAGAGCTTGACAAAGGTAGGAGGGAGGAGGTTGTCAAAAAATCAAGAAACACTACTGACATCATTTATGGACAGCCCCTTACTTGGAGTTCTAGTTTTAAGTAATTATTAACGGCTATTGTTTGATGAAAAAATAGCGGAAAAACAATTTAAAAATACAGTATAGTAAAAAGTAAAATACAGTAAACACCAAGCAGTAAATTAGTATTCTAGTTCTCCAGTGTAAAAAGGATATAAAATTGTGTTTAAAAATAATGATTTAGTAAGAAATAAAACTTGGTGTAGAAAAGAAAATTACCACCTCCACCCAACCTACTTCTAATGACCATTCTTTAAATTTGCGCTAACTCGAATCTTCACCTAACCCTAGAATTGCAACTACTCAATCAATGAATTTTTATCATTGAATCTACTCCCCCTAGCTATTTAACTTTTCCCTACAATTAGATAGGTGAGAGTAGATTTTTATAAAAATGATTTGATGAAAAATAAGCATAGTATTTAGTCTTTAGTCAACATTTTAAACAAGTTTTTTGAAAAAATAAATTGTTTTGGGAAGTCATTGCAAAACAAAATTCTTTATGAATGGTAAAGTTTTATATGCATTATCATATATATTATAGCCGAACTTAATCCTTTTAGTAGTAGTAGTTGTAGTAGTAGTAGTAGTAGTAGTAGAGTAGTAGTAGTAGTAGTAGTAGTAGTAGTAGTAGTAGTAGTAGTAGTAGTAGTAGTAGTAGTAGTAGTAGTAGTAGTAGTAGTAGTAGTAGTAGTAGTAGTAGTAGTAGTAGTAGTAGTAGTAGTAGTAGTAGTAGTAGTAGTAGTAGTAGTAGTAGTAGTAGTAGTAGTAGTAGTAGTAGTAGTAGTAGTAGTAGTAGTAGTAGTAGTAGTAGTGTTAAAGCTCATTCGAGCGTGTTTGGTATGGAACCCTTGTTGCGTTGCGATTAAGATGCTTATGTTATTAATGTGCTCAGGTAATTAGTCCTAATATGCTGCGGGTGGTCTGAAAAAAAAGTTGTCTGAAACTTATTAAAGTAAAAACTTTCTAAGACAGTCCTGCTACTCCAGAAGGTGCTGCTGTAGTGGCAAAAAAAAAGCCCGTAGCTAGAAAAAAATTTAAACTTTCTTTTGACAATTTAAAGTTTTTTTTGCTTAATTTTTTTACTATAAAGATGTGCTGCAGCCGTTTTTCAAAATGTCTTTATATGCTTATTACGTATTTCGAAAAAAACGCAATTAAAACAAAAATATTAGAAGAAACTCTTTGTAAAGCATTTTTTTGAAACTAACAACTTTTTTTAATTTCCAGAACTCTTTGAAAAAATATGTATTCAATAACGTTTGTAGTCATCTAAACGAGCTTATTTTTACCTTAGAGCGTTTTGAAAACGGCTGCAGTATGGATGTTACAAC